TTGCCTCCCACAGGAGCCCCTACCAGGGTGGAATGGAGCCTGCAATTGAAGTAAGTGCCCTTGACCAGAACTGAATCAGGCTACTATTTGTCCTCCCTAGAGCACATGCCCCAGTGTCCAGGACATAGCAGGTCCTGAGTAAAGACTCATGGATTGGTTTATGTACTTAAAAGTTCCAAGATGCAGACCAACATCCAACATCAAAACTAAGGAAGATGTGGTATGTGATGCCATTTTCTATATGGTGGTTGAATGAGTGGGGCCTCAGGGTCAAGGGAAATGAGGAAGGAAAGGCACCCTCACTCATCTTTAAGCTCTATGGTGTTGCGTCTATCCCTCCACCTCCTTGCAGATGTAAGTGAGGCTTGGTGTCTGGGTCATTGCAACAGAGTCCAGAAGGAGATGGAGACATGGCAGACCAGACATGAGCCAGTAACAAGAGGGGGTGGGCCTGGGGTGGGGTTAGAAGCGGGACTGGGTCTCAGGTGGGGGGTTAGGCTGGAGCAGGGCTACACCGACACAACTCTGGACGGTTTTTGTGTCATGGTGCTGCTGTACCTGCCATCCTATGGCCTGGGTGGCTGAATTCTGTTCCATGGAGCATGTGTGGAATATAGGACAGATCCTGACCAGGCACACCTGTGCAGGAGCCATTGGCATTCTGTAAACAACAAGCACACAACAAGGACGTGAATATTAGCATGCTAGTCTTAGGTTCTGGCACCCCCTCCCTGCTTCTTGCAGCTGATCTAAACAATATCCACAGACTGTTCCATTTCTGATCAGATGGAGTATAAATCATCTCTGGACTCGGATCTTCTGTCTAACATCCTGCTTTGGGGTGAGTCTTCTGGGGGGGAAATTGCAAAAGAGAAATATATCCATTCCTGCAAAATTGTCTTTTTAAAGTATTAACTCCAGTTATGCTCTTCCCCGCGTTAGCATGACCAGTGTCTCTTAAGAAAAGAGTTCAAAAGCATTTGCAGGTTCTACAAGGTCTTAATTATCTGGTCTAACCTTCCTTACCTTCTCGTACTGCCTGCCACATGCCAGGTACAGCTTGTCACTCATTTCAAAGAGCCGCGCTCTTACTTACCTGAGATCTGCACACTCTTCCATTGTTGCCGCCAATGCCCGTCCCTCACCTCTCTGCCTCAGGAGCAACTCCTCTCGGATAGCCTTCCAGCTCTCCCAGCCACGCTCGTCCATCTGAAACAAGTATACAAGACGAGTGTGGATGGGAGAGTTGGAAGGCGTCGACCTCAGCGAATGTACCTCAATCAGATTGAGGACGTTTTTAGCAAAGGCCAACTTAGGAGTACCCTAATTAAGTTAATAACAATGTACCTACCTATATAGTTTAAGTTTAAAAAATTTGGCTCTCAAAAGAAATTTCACTTCATTGTACTGTTGGTGTTTGGCTCTGTTGACTAACGAGTTTGCCGACCACTGGCCTAGACCTTCCGGGTGGCGTGTACTCAGGCAAAGGGCTGATCCTCTGTGGTCTCCCAGAGGCCGGTGCACCCTACATCTACGGTAGCACCTATCACACTGTCCTGGGGACTCTTGCTCTTTCAGTCCTTTTTCCTACAAGCCTTAATTTTTAAAAAATATATTTTTATTGATTTCAGAGAGAAGGGAGAGAGAGAGAAGTAGAAACATCAATGATGAGAGAGAATCATTGATCAGCTGCCTCCTGCACACCCCACACGGGGGAATCTAACCCGCAATCCGGGCATGTGCCCTAACTAGGAATCGAACCACGATCTCCTGGTTCATAGGTCGACGCTCAACCACTGAGTTACGCCAGCCAGATGAGCCTTAATTTTAAAAGGAGAGGAGCACCATCTTGATCATCTTTGCAAAAATTTTTATATCATCTTTCTTCCTTTCCTTTTCCCTCTCCCAAAGATCACCAGATGACTCAGCCGTAGCTGGAACCAAGGGCATTTTACTCAATGTCTAGAATCAATGGCTGTCTGTCTTTCAGGACTATATACAGGGGCCAAGAGAAGGAGGAAGTAAACAGTCATTACTGATTAGCATTTTACATTCGAAATCTTCCTCCTGCAAGCGCTTCTTTGTCTCTTCAGGTGAAATCTGGAGCGGAGAGTTATTTTAGACCAGCTCCCCCGGCCTTCCCAGGTAAACGCAAGGGCCCTCCCCTAAACAAGCCCACACCTGGCATTTCCATGGTACCCCTGGAGAATACACATTTTCATTTAGCCAAGTTTGAGAGTAGGGAGGTGAGAGATTTATTTAGAAAGAAGGATGCAGAAGGGCAGGAAATCAGCAATGTTTGAATGTAGACTATCAGCATTCTCCCTTTTTATATAAATATTCATCCAATTCAAAACAGGCAGTTTGGCCAAGTCTTTTAGTTACAGCCCACCCTCCCGACCCCCACCACAGAAAGACTTATAATTGAAAGTAGAGGTCACATTGGTATCTGTTGCACATGAGAATTACAGTGTGATTATTCACATGTGTAACAAACAGTCTGCTAAGAGGCAGATGCTGCCTTCCTGTAACCTTACTTAGGTTGCAAAGAAGAATAAAACCAATACTTCGAAGAATGCCTACTCACCGAGATGGCAGCAGACCCTATTTCATATATTTGGGGGTCTTGTCTGGGGGTGGGATATAATATTATGCAAAAAGTTTAATGCAGTGTGTCCATAATTCTAAAACGATTTCCTGTTTAACATACTGGAGAGGAAGGATTTTGGCCAGTGTTTTTCAGTGCTTTTGCTTGTGTGGTAAGACAGAACTCACTCAGAGAAAGAGGTATGAAACACTATTTACTCAAGGATCCCTAACCTCATGAAATCCTTGCCTCTCTAGACTTCCCAACGGGGCCAGGGCTAAAGTGAAGGCAAGTGAAGCACTCATCTTTTGGTACAAAACTCCAGGGGTACCAATAAACTCAGTAATATAAATAATATTTTAATGCAATATTTAAAATGATTTAAACTTTGGATATGTTCATGCTAAATTTTTACATGTATTTTTATTTTTAAAAATATTGCATTGCCCAGCTGGTGTGGCTCAGTTGGTTGAGCATCGCCCCATGCACCAAGAGGTCACCAGTTTAATGCCTGGTCAGGGCACATGCCTGGGTTGTGGGCTCCATCCCCAGTGGGGGGCATGCAGAAGGTAGCCAATCCATGTCTCTCTCTCTCAAACTAAATAAAAACATGTTTAAAAATAATGCATTAAAATATTATTTATCTTAATTACTGAGTTTATTGGTACCCTTTAAACTTTGCCTTTTTGTCAGATATCTCTCATCTCATTCTAGCACTGGTTCCGTTTCCCAAATGCTTTTTCAGATCAAACCCTATTCCCTGACAGTTGTCTTCAGTTACTTGCCCCATGAAGGGGGGTGGGGGGGGGGAGTTTAAGAAAAATATAATGTTAGAAGTAAAAAACAAGGAGGAAAAAGTTCGGATGTTCAGAGAAATAAAAATTAAACAGCAACGAGGCATCACCTTGTGCTTTGTCAAACTGACAGATTTTCAAATATAATCTCCAGCTGGTGGGAGTGGCCAAGTAAGGCATAACTTTTTATACGTGAACGATCTCATTGGTCCCTAAGCCTGCATTGTAGCACTCTCTCTACCCAGCTGCCCATTCACCAGAAGGTGAGTAGGCTTCTCGAAATGACTTGTAGGATCCTGCCCGCCTTAGGACCTGCCACAATCACCTTCGGACTTTTCTGATCACTTTTGCGACCTCTGTGCTGCACTTGATCCTATGGTTCCAGGGGGCTGCCTCCTTCCTGGCCTTTAACCTTTTTAAGCCACAGGTAATGATAACCTTTCTCCGCTGAGAAAAAGTGATCGGGAAGTGGGTGTTACATTTTGGTCTACACTGTCCAGTCCTGCCAGATGAACACTCAGCTTAGATTTCTACAAACTCCCTGACTTGACTTGGCATTTTGGATAAGCCTCGGTTTTCTTTTTCCATTTGCACAACCCCAGCTCGCAGGTTGCGGAGATGACCTCTTCCCAACCCCGTCCTTCGAGATACTCCAACAAGGGCCGCGCCCCGGGCCTGCGCGCTCTCAACCCGCCCTCCCAGGTCCGCGTCCCGCAGCGCCGGGCCACCCCTCGCGGGGCCGCCTTCCCGGTCCCCGGCTCCCGGCGGAGGAAATTCTTCCCCAGCAGCCCAGGGCTCGCCTCACGTGACCAGCCGCGGCGGCGGCTTCCAGGGAGAGTTTAAAGGTTACGGAGGAAATTAGCGCGGACACAGTCACTGGTCCCCCGCAGGGCGCGCCCCGTTTCCCCGCAGCTCGGACGACCGCTGTCAGCGCGCCGATCAGAGCCGTCTCCCCGAAAAGGGCAGACAAGGTCCAGAGAAAATATGAAGGCACTTTGTGGAACATAAACACAAACCGAGCCGGGGCTCTACTGAGCTCTCACTTGTCAACAAGTTCTCGCAGCCTGAGAAGTCCAGGACAGATCCCAAAGGGGGAGCATGCCCCAAAGAAAGCGAAGAGAGAATAAATATATAGAAACTCCTAGGGAGCCTTGCACGCCCCTCCCTGTGCACCCCCTCCCCCCCCATCCCCCCGCCGAGCCCTGCGTCTCCAAACAGAATGACAGGCCTGCCCGAGTCCGGGTGAGGTGGGGGAGGGTCCCGCGTCTTCTCTCGTAGTGCGACCCCCCGTCACTCTCCCACCCGCGGCCCTAAGACAGTGTTGACCACAGAGCTCCGGGGAGATGCGCGACCCGCTCGCCTCCGGGGGAGAGCAAAGGGCAGGTATCCGCAGCATGCAACACTCGCACCCCGCGCCCCGCTCCGCCACTCCCCGGGGTCCCGCGCGGGGTCCCCGCCTGGCTCTCCCGCCTGCCGCCGCGACCCAGGCAGGCTCGCCCGCTTCTCCGTCGTCCTCTCTTCGGCTCACTTTTCCCGGATTGCTCCCCCAACCGGCAAAACTTTCTATTTCCCTAAACACAGGAGCGCGCGCGCGCGCGTGCCCGCACACACACACACACACACACACACACACACTCTCTCCCTCTGACGTCTTTTGCGCATTTCCTGCATTAGAGGGAGGGAGACTCGCTCGCACACCGACGGAGGGAGAAGGGACCGAGGGGGAGAGCTGGCGGGCGGCGAGCGAGCAGCAGCCGAGAGCGGGGACGCGGAGAGCGCGGCGGGCGGGCGGGCGCCGGCGCCCTGGAGGTGGGGCCGCGCGGAGCCGCAGTCCCGGCCCCGCCGCCGCGCTGCGCACCGCCGGTGCCGGCCTGCGCCCCGAGCCCAAGCAGTGGCCACCCCGACTCCGAGCCCGCGCGGATGTGAGATTCCGGGCTCCTGGCGCCTCCCGATCGCCGATCGTCGCGCGGCGCTGCTGCGTCCTAGAGGCGGCGGCCAGGCTGGCGGTGGGGCTTGTGGATTTTTAAAAATTTGGCTGCGAGGAGGACCATTTCCTTTCGACATGCATCCCTCCGGATAGACTGAACATCCCTCGGTCCATCCCCCGCCCCGCGCGGCCAGAGGCGGGCGCTGGGTGTGCGAAGAGGATCCGGGTTGAAATCTGCGCCCCCGGTTTTCGTCCCCGCCCCACCGCCCCCTCGCCCTCCCGGAGTCAAAATTTCCCGGGGATTATGTTTCGGAAAGGTAGGTAAGCGCCCGGCGCGGCGCCCGCTTCCCGCAGCCCGGACCCGGGGAGCCAGCGAGGCGGCGAGACAGCCCCCGCAGCTGGCAGAGGAGCCGACAGCTCCTCTCTTCTTCTGGAGGTGCCGCTGGTGGTAGGGGGGGAGAGGCTTGTTCCAAACACGGACGTCCCCCAGCTCTCCCCCCCCTCCCTGTTTTCCGTTAGGAACCCGGCGAGGAAATACATGCACTCACTGAGAATCGCCCGCGCCAGGGCGCAGCGCTACAAGGTGTAGGCAGAGTGTGGGGTGGGGCGAGAAGGGGACTAAGGAGCCCCCGAGGCTCCCAACGCCGGGGCGTCGGTTCTTCATCCTGCCCTCGGGGCGGACGGAGCGATCCCGGCCCCCCTCCACGCCCCGACCATGGTAGTGTTCAATGGCCTTCTTAAAATCAAAATCTGCGAGGCTGTGAGCCTGAAGCCCACAGCCTGGTCGCTGCGCCATGCAGTGGGACTCCGGCCACAGACTTTCCTTCTGGACCCTTACATTGCCCTCAACGTGGACGACTCGCGCATCGGCCAAACGGCCACCAAGCAGAAGACCAACAGCCCGGCCTGGCACGATGAGTTCGTCACCGACGTGTGCAACGGGCGCAAGATCGAGTTGGCTGTCTTCCACGATGCCCCCATCGGCTACGACGACTTCGTGGCCAACTGCACCATCCAGTTTGAGGAGCTCCTGCAGAACGGGAGCCGCCACTTCGAGGACTGGGTGAGTCTGGCGCCTCCCGGTCCAGGAGCCCAGATGTGGGGTCCGGGGTTGGCTGGGGGTGCGAAGGGGAGACTCAGGGCCTTGGCATTGGTAGCAGGGTGCAGGGACTTCACTGAGACCGGAGTGTGTGTGTCTACCGAAGTCTCAGTTACCTTGGAGAAAAGCACCCTCTACTTGGTAGTTGGGGAGAAGAGACTTGGGAAGAGGGTCTGGCTCTTTGCCCCCTCCAGCCAGCGGGTGCCACAGGGACCTCGTAAGCCGAGAGAGCCCCGAGCCAGTGCCTGAAGGTTGGCCGAGAACCAGGCGCCTTCCGCAGGCGCGTGGTGGGCTGGCTGTGTGTGATTGTGTGTGGGTGGGTTCCTCTGTCCTTGGAGAGGCACGTGGAGCCCTAGACTGAAAGCTTCTTGCACGTCCTGGCTTTGTCCTGCTTCGCTGAGTCTGGAGCTGCTTTATTTTCCCCTCCGGAGGAAGCTAGCTTGTTTCTATTCTGTGGCGTGGTGGGTAGCTCATCTTCGGACCCACAGGGAGAAAAATGTGTTCTCCTCCAGGATGCCCCCTCAGGGTCCAAGAAACATCAGCCCAATGCATTACCCGCCATCCAGAATGAGTGTTGTATTTAAAAAATGGTTCTGCTTGTGAGTAATTGAAAAATCAGGGCTTTGAAACCTACTTATAGTTTCTCTGTTTTGATTTTCAAGATATGTGGGATGAAATACTATTTCTAAGTCTGAGACTGAGTTAATTGATTACATTGTCAAAATATTAGGGGCTGGGAATAGGCCTTGTCCATGGACTATGTAAGCTAAATGCCTTCAGCCTCAGTACCCAGAGAAGCAGGGAGAACGCAGCCTTGTTTTGGCTGTTCTAGGAGGGATAGTGTTAAATGAGGAAATAAATTTCTGTATTTTTAGAAATTCTTGTTACCTGTTTCCACCAAGAGCAGGTGTGGCTCTGGGTGTATATGTTTTCAGGGTTCTTTGATCTCCACCAGAAGAGAAGTATCGGCTTCTCGCGGAGAGATGTAGAGAAATTACCTTCTAATTACTGAGAACAAATAACTTTGTGACTGTCCTAGGGTGCATATGAATCACCTTGGCGTATCACCTCACATATTTTTTCAAGGCAATGGACTTTTAGGGGAGAATCAGAAAAAGCCTCTTCTCTTTATGCTCAGGGCTGTGATGTAGGCTGCCCGAAACCATGGTTACGGGGCTTGCAGGGAAGCTCCAGCACACCACACCAAGTACATCCCTGGGTGATGTGTGACTTACACTTTGGGAAGCAGGCAAACCTTTGTGGAATCCCAAAGAATGCAGTGCCATTCCATTCCACAATGCTCCGGACCTCTGCCTCCCTCCCACCACCCGAGTTTCCACTCATTCCCCATGTCCTTTCCACACAGGCCTGTTAGTCCTTTTACTCGTGAAAGCAGTATGTGTCTGAGGGGGAGCTGAAGAGATAACTAATTTCAGAGCCAGACCTTAATACTAAACAACTATGGTTCTGAAGTTGTTGTTGTTTTTGGATAGGAAGGAGAAAAAAAACCATGACTATGGTTGTGAGGCGATGGGGCCTTTTGCTTTGTATGCGGAGGAGGGAGTTTGAGGAGAGGCCGAGAGCATCAGGTCTGCTTTTATTCAAAGAACAGGTCTTGGTTGGAGGGTGAGATGTCGAAGTGCCTCTGGTGGTGCTTTGCTGGGGCCCACCCAAACCCTGGGCACAGCAGGGCACCATTCCCACTTCTGAGCACTTCCAGTGAAGCGCACAGTGGCCAATAGTCTTGCTTGGTTATCTTTCTCTAATCTTCTCAAATTCATGTTGGATTTGGCCCTAGACCAGATACCTAGCGCACAGGCACGTTTTACAGACAAGGACATTGTGTCCCAGAGAAGCTAAGTGGTACCCGAGGTAACATGACAGGCAAAGGGGAGTTGGAGGTAAGGCCCACATCTCCTCTTGCTCACCACTGTCTGGTGGGGAACTGAGCCTCCCTGGTCTGTTTTCCCTGCAGATACGTGTGCTGCGTCCCTGAACATTTTTATTGTATGTGATAATTTAAAGAGCTTTCAAACTCATCATCTCATGATCTCTTTTGCCTTATAGCAAGTGTGAATTAAGTATGACAGGTATTGGGACAGTTTTAAAGAAACTTGAGATACAGAAAGGCTGAAGGCATCGGATAATGAAGCAAGAAGCGGAGCTGGTTCTCTTTGCTCACCTAGTGTTGTTTTCACTGGAGGAGGCTGTGGCCACTCTGTTTCCTCCAGCCGAGGGTGGGCGTGCATCAGCAGAGGTGATTGGCCCTTGGAACGAGAGCCAAGTTGCACGTGGGCTGAGTAAGGTCACCCTTCCCATTCCCATCAGCCAGGGCACCACTGCAGAATCACACCTTAGGGTAGAATTCCCCGAGCTCAGGCCTTGGTGCTCTTTACCTGGCCGTGATGAAGAGATGCACCCTTTTCCAGGTGTGGCTAAGAACTCTGAGGGGGAGCTGGAGCTGCTCCTCGCATTGCTGTGGAACGTTTCATTCTTCTGAGCGATGACTTCACCTGTATTCGCTGTTTGTTGCTCAGATTCAACCAGGGAAGTTTAGCATTCTAATCCAGAGGTAAAAGAGACGATGGGTGACTCTCCAGGGGCTTCCACTTAACCAGGGAAATGACAATAAGGTTCTAAATGAATATTTGAAGGAATTCAGAAAGGGAGTAGGCTAGGAGAGCTGGAAGGCTCTGGAGGGTTCCTGAAAGGAGGCACGCACTGGGTGTGAAATGTGGGCAACATTTAAAGAGGTATTTATAAGAGGAGGCAGTGTTTCATGGGCACGGACACAGCTGGAATAAGAGCAGATAATGCCTTTGGCCAGCGTCGGAGAACGGGGTAGCACAGCTGAAACGGAGGGTGCCTGTCAGAAAGGAGCAGGCAGGGTCACGTTCCCTAAATTTAAGACTTATTATCTCGGTACTGCCTGTGCTATTATTTACGTAACAGTTTTCAACATTGATTCTTTGACTTTCCACTTGAGCCCCAGTCTTCATGAAATCACAGGTTTGGATACTGTTGTTATGACTTTTCTTCATTCAGATGAAAATAAACACATGGCCTCTGAAGTAAAATGAAGAGAAGTTCATCTCAGGTGACTCTTAAAATCATTAGTGATACGGGGCACACATTTTGGAAACACTGGAGTAGGAGGGAGTTTAGACAACTGAGGTGGGTTCCAATGTGTTTAAAAGCCAAGCCGAGATCATTATTCTTCAGATAATGGGAGACGTATCAGTTGTGATGACAAAGAGGGTTCTTTAGAGAAAGCTTATTACAGAGACATGGGAGGATTTCACTTGTGCTTGAAGCAGAATCCCAGTAAACACTGTTGCTATAGCTTGGTTTTCCAAGAACAAGATAATAATGCTACTCAGACTTCGGTGTGCATACGAATCACTAGGGGAAGGTGTGAAAAATACAGACCCTCCTGCCCGCCTCCAGAGCTCTTCATTCTGTGGCTCACGATGAGTGCTAGGAGTCCTCATTTTTAACAAGCTGTCCTCAAGGTTTGGGACCAGAAGATGCTTTGGGAAACCCTGGGCCAGAATAGCTCCAGGTAATTAATGTATCAAGATTTTGTACAGAGATGTCCTGAAATGTTTTAGTAGGCCTTTGTAAGTCCTAAAGCAACATTTATAAGCATAATCGTGTGAACTAGAAATATGGGGATTCATGTTAGAATCAGAGGCTAGATGGAGCCGCATTAGCATTTAGGACAGACGGTGGAGAGCACAGTAGATGGCGGAGAGCATGGATGGAGCACGCAGGCTGACAGCTGGCTGGTCCCTACACACTCAGGAGTTTGCTCTATAGTTTAAGTAGTCTACTCAGGGCTATGTACCGAGCTCAGTTCCCTATTCCCTCACCCCCTGCACCACCCCTGCCTCTGAAGACATCTCTGCTTAGGGTCACTGCCTTGCTTCACCCTGTAGAAGAGATGCTGAGGTACTCATAACACAGAGGTAATGACAAAGTCATCTTTAAAACATTTTTTAAAAAAATTTATTTCAGAGAGGAAGGGAAAGGGAGAGCGAGATAGAAACATCAACGATGAAAGAGAATCATTGATCGGCTGCCTCCTGCACACCCCACACTGGGGATCAAGCCCACAGCCCAGGTATGTGCCCTGACTGGGAATCAAACCATGACTTCCTGGTTCACAGGTCGACGCTCAACCTCTGGCCAAACGTCTTTTGAGAGGCGGCTCAGCAGAGCACTGACAGGCAGAGCTCTGGAGACAGGATGTGTAGGTTTGAATCCCATCAATCTTTCGTGACCTTGAGTGAACCATTTAACCTGTGCTTCTGTTTTTTTCCTCTGTAAAAAGTGGGTGACAATAAAAATACCTAGCTGAAATAAAATGGGGCTGTTGTGGGTGAAAGGAGTCAATATCTGTCAAGTATACAGGCCAATGCCTGAACCTTAGGAAGGGCTCAATGGATGCTTAACTGCTGCACGTATTGTTATGTCTCCTAAATCTCCTATGGGGGCTGGCCAGTTCTATACTGAGCTGATTATTCTATAGCACCCCAAGAAGCCAGCTTTGCATAGTCTCCAAAATATTTCTCTTCAGTAGGGCCATCTTATTTGGCAAGGATTGAGACACTGAAGTTTCTGTTTCATGTTTCCAATATTGCCTATTGACGGGGCTTCTCAAATCATCCTACCCTGCTGATCCTGGGAGATAGTCCTGCACCCTGTTTGGAAAAGTTAGGTTCTGGGGCTGATTCCCCTTTGGCGCAAGAATTCTGTGGGGAGATTCTTACAATGCAAAGGCCAAGGAATCAGTGGTTGAGCAGCAACCCATGGTTTAGATGCTGATGCCCTGGGCGAAGCCTGAGGACACTTGTTATTAAACAAGTCCCTGCTGAGTGTCATCCGAGATGGTGGCCTGAGCACACCTGGATACACACTGCACAAAGGTGTATCTCAATCTTCAGGACTTTTGTAGGGAAATC